GGAACGTGCCCTCATGCCAAGAGCAAGATAAGGATCAGATGGGGAAATGGCACTGCCGAGACACACAGTCTCGAGAGGAGGAGGAAAGCATCGCAGGAAGGAGCAAGGCTACAAACATGCTGGCAGACATGAAGCATGAGCCAGTCCTGGTGGATCCAGCCCCTCCAGATCTTCTCAAGCGGAGCTTAGGGACAAAGCTACTGACTTCAGCAGGCCCAGAATACCCATTAGCTACAAATGGTATGATAAGAAAGATGTGCTTTAAAGTACATTTTGTGTACTCCACAAGGGGAGATTTTTCCCCCAAATTATCCCTGCTGTACATCATAGCAGGTTTTCATCTTTTTTGCAGAGGACCATAACCCCCAGCCAGGTGCGGTGCCAGCGTGGCGGGGGGATTTCTGTGCATACTGATGCCATCTCTTTGGCCGCCTTTCGTAAACATACCATAGAGTTCTGCCTACACTCCCCAGGACCTCGCCTCCTTGCTGTCAGTGCTAATAATGCTTATTGCCCTGCCAGAGAACAGGAAGCCTCCAGAAAATGGCAGGGTGGCAGAAAAACGAATACTGAGTGACCATAGAAAAAAATATTTCTTCCTTCTCACATGGAAATGTTTTGAGAAGGAAGGAATTGTTCAGGCGAATTGCAGATCATGTAGCCAAGAGCGGGTTTGCCCAGCGGCTGCAGAGGACGGTAGGTCCCCTCCATCTCCCTGCCTGGCGCGGTGGGGAATCATGCATGGGCGACATCTCCCCCGGTTCATAACACAACACACCCAAAATGTATGGGCTTGAGCTACAGGGAGAAGCTGTGGGGTCCAGAGATCACGGGCAGGATCACACTGCATCCCCAGCACTCCCCTGTGTTCCCAAAACTTGGAATATGAGCCCAGACACAAGGCTGTAGTGCCTGCTGCCCACCGTGAGCTAGCCTCATATGCAGGGTCTTGGGAAAGAGAGAAAATTGCAGTCTTTTCTCCTTCCGAGCGTCATAAGAGCCGGCTGTGATTTCAGAGCTAACTGCACTACGTTAATATGAGCTGCGAATCCATTGAAAAGCTCCTTTCATGAGCACCATTGGTTCCTGTTGGCTGGCGTTTGTGTCTGAAACCCTTCTTCCCTGAGTGTGTGTGATCCCTGTGCGGCCGTCTGTTTGTATCAGATACAAGGTTTTAGAAGATGTAGTTTTAAATACTGCATTTCCATTGAAATTAAAGCATATTAATAAGAAGCATTTATTTAATCTACAAACCAGGTAGATGATTTGAAACACTTTTAATATTCACTATGAATTTGAGAAGAAACAAAACCAAAAGCTTTGATCAACTGCTGCTCATGTTGCAGGCCAGACATCCAACAGACTAAGGCTGAAAAGAAAGGTATTTCCCATCTCAAGCATCCCAAAACTCTGTGTTGGAGTAAAAAAAGAGTTGGCACCACTGGTCTCAAGGGCAGAGACATGACATGTATCCCCCTACTTAGAAGAATGATTCTTTAAATATTTATCTTAAATGTCCCGTTAACATGTGGAGTAGCTGAAAAAGCTCTTTCAAAAAAATACCACGGGTTCCTCACTCTCCACCCAGCCTCTTTCCCCTTGCCTGTGCCTGCACCACAGGCAGGGTGGTCACTGATGCAGACCTTCCTCAACTTCACCCTGTACCGTAGCAAAAAGCTTTACCAGCACGGGCTCCACAGGGTGCTGGGCTGGAGCTTGTGTTGTTGTAACCATGTGATGAGATGAGCTATTACCTGCTGTCCCGTACCAACTCATCTGAGCGTTGCGTGTACTTCACTGCACGCACACGTACTTTGCCACAGTGCAGCCCACCCAGGAACCGCAGTCTGCATGAACAGCACCGAGGGAGAATGTTTGCATTGTGTTAAAGAGTTTTGAAAGCACTTCTCGGCACATCAAGTTTTGTAAAATCCTCGTTTTGCAACACGGACTTTGGGATACATGAATCTACCCTCAGACTCAGAAAAAAATCTTGCATCCCACTGCAAGTCCCAGTGCCTTCCTGCAGCCAGGTAGTCAGCAAGAAAGTTTCTGTTCCACTGAGCAGAAACAGAACGTTAATTGCAAGGAAAGTCGAATACTGAAACGCTTTGCCTAATGGAGTCCTGTGCTAGGGGAAGGAGATAAGCTCGAGAGATTATTCCTTTCTTTCCCACACAAGAGAAAGATAAGAGTGCAAATTCAGTCACGCTGCTCTTTTTTTGGGGGGGGGCTTTGACGGTCGCTCCTTTCCCAGCAGGCTTTCTTTGCCTCTCCAGCTGAGATACCTAGAAACTATCATAAACCGTCAGTCTCCCGTGGGCTTTCCAGGGGCGTGCTGGTCCGGAGGGGTGCAGCCCTGCAGGCAGCGAGGGGAGGAGATTTCCCGGTCCCGGC